CTCTCGGACCCCTTGGAAGTCAATTTTCATAAAAAAAAAACCACTTTGACAGTGGATTTTCACTCCATGAAAAGAAAGTGTCTACCAAGTTTCAATCCTGCAGGTCTAATAGCTTAAAAACGAGAATATTTAATTATAATGTTCCTTAGGAACCCACAACATGCTTTGTGGATCTATTTTCACTAAAACCCATCCTAGAATATCCCTAACCTAGGAAAGGAACAAGCCCCCTTAATTTTAAGTCTGTATGTCAAATAGTTCGAAAACTGAAATAATTCTCCATAACACCAATTTAACCCCTCTCGGACCCCTTGGAAGTCAATTTTCATAAAAAAAACCCCACTTTTGTTGTTGTTCTCTAGTCCAAAAAAGAAACATCCCTGCTGGATTTCGAACTAGTAGTTTTAATAGCTAAAAACCTTGAACATTTATCTATAAAGGCACTTAATTCCCCGCAAGCCCGCTTGGGCATGAATTTTCGGTAAAATCTTTCTTAGCGTATCTTAACTTCATGAGAGGAACATACCTGTCAATTTTTTTTGCAGATCTAATAGATCAAAAACAGAATTTTTTGTTTTATCAATAATTATATTTAACCCCTCGTAACCCTTGATGTTGGATTTTCGCCCAAACCCTTTCTTAGCAGATCTCTTCCTATGTATACCAAATTTCAAATCGGTAGGTCTCATAATTCCGGAGCTATGATGAATGAGTGCATGTGAGTCGCTTTCCTTCTTTATATATATATATATATATATTAGGTTTGGGAAAAAGAAATCCATTATTTATATGGTAGATGGCAGTAGTGTCGATATATCTCGTGAAGTACAGATCAAACAATTTCAAATTTATGCTCATTGTCAAGGTGACAGTTTACACTAAAAAAACTATTTTACTGTTTTTTGTTTGATCCATCCAATTGTGAGTTACAGGGTGCTAAAAATGGAGGTCACCAAAGAGAAAATTTGGTACATTTTACAGTTTTTTGATAAAGGCAGAAATTCAAGCCAGGTGGCTGAAATTGTGATGGTGTTTATGGTGCCGATAACAGCTAATTACCTGAAATTTTGGTTTCGTCGATTCCGTTCAAGCCTTTTTGATGTTAAAGATACACCTCGCACAGGTAGACCCGTCGTCGAAAATAACGATAAAATCACATAAATAATCCAAGTTGACCGTCGTATTAGTAGTCGTAGCATCGCCTGGAGCTAAAGTTCGACCATAAAGCAGTTTTAAGGGAACCGGGACGTTCTCGATGACACAAAATGAGCAAAATTTGGCTTTTCGAAACAACATTATTGTCAAAAACAGAAAGACTCCATAATTAAAAAAATTTCGTCATACAATCTATATATTTTTCTTAATATACTACATATAAAATTATTAAATATATAAAATATTTTAAGAAATATAAGGATTCGAAAAAGTACACACCAAAAAAAGTTTTTGGATACATGGTGCAATTTAGGTACATGTATCTTTCCTTTTATAACATATAACACCAAAAAACATGCTGTTTTAGTTATAAAATTGTACCTTTATTTAAATGTAATAGTTCTTTTTATATTTCCTTGCACAGGATTTTTTAAAAAAAATTTTGAATTTTGACTTTTTGAAATTTTGATAAAAATGGCATTTTTTTTTTAAATTGAACAATAAAAGTAAAAATACTAACATTTCAATAAAGATTAGTAGCATTAAATACATTATCAGGGTACAAAAGCTCATACCAAGTTTCTCTCTCTCTCTCTCTCTCATTAAAATATAACAAATAGATTTTTCTACACATGTACCTAAAAACTGAAAAAACACATTTTGCGAAAATTGAAAAAAAAAGTGCGTGTGTACTTATGTACGCACGTAAGAAGTTCTACTTCTTTGGCGTAACATGATTAAAATATTTAACAAGGCAAGCTGGGCCAAAAACGAAAGGCAGTCACGAGCAGAGTTGAACGATAGATACTAAACTTCAGTCAATCGGACCAGCCACACAAACCTGAGATAATCACGATTAAATAAATATAAACACCCCCGCACATGGACAATAGGACCAATAATATGGAGAGGGGGTCGAAGGCTGGAATGATCTGTCCCGCGTTCTGCATATTTCTAGACAAAGCATTTTGGTATCCGTTCCCTACGGAACGCAAAGCAAAGGTTCACTGACGCGGGGGTATAGCTCAGTGGTAGAGCATTCGTCTGCAAATCGAGAGGTCCCGGCTCAAACCCGAATGCTCCCTTCTTCATGGAAGTAAAGAGAATTTTTTTTTTTGAGAAATTTGAAGGCGGGAATGATCTGTCCCATTCTGCATATTTCTAGACAAAGCATTTTCGTATCCGTTCCTAAGGAACGCAAAGCAAAGTTTCGCTTACGCGAAGGGAAAGCTCAGTGGTAGAGCATTCGCTTGCAGATCGAGTGGTCCCCGGATCAAACTCGGGAGTTTTCTTCTTCGGGGAAGAGAAAATTTTTTTTGAGGATTTTGAAGGTTGGAATGAAATGTTTTCCTTTCTGTATATTTCTAGACAAAGCCTTTTCGTATCCGTTCCTACGGAACATAAAGCAAAGGCTCTCTGACACTGAGTGTATAGCTCAGTGGTAGAACATTCGACTGCAGATGGGGAGGTCCCCGGCTCAAACCCGGGTGCTCCCATTTTCAGTGAAGTGAAATAATTTTTTTGAGAATTTCGAAGACGGCAATGTGTGATTTGTCCCGTTCTGTATATTTGTAGACAAAGGACTTTCGCATCCATGACGATGTGCGTCACATTCGTGACGGGGTGCGCGCGCATTGTAAAAACGCCCCAATAAAAGTATAACTTCAAAAAAGGTTAAAATTAAAAAGGGGAGAAAATCAATTATATTACTACTAAAATGGGAAACAATTGACAAAAAATTACATAAATAAGGCTCGTTCTATACAAATAGTAAGTGAAGAAATTCTCTCAATTTTTGAATTTTGATGTATTACTTTGCTATTCCTGTTTGAAATGATCTTCAGGATAAGATATACTTTAATTTTACAAAAACAAGAGCGTTTTATCTTAGCTATTATCTGACATTGCTTAAAAAACAGTGATTGATAAATTTGAAGGTCACAACACTTCTACTGTTATCCAGAGAAAATACACAAAAAGGTTCAGTAAATTATTTAAAACCACTTTTTGAGCAATCACTAGCGCCGTTTGAACTATTCGAAGGGAAAAAGAAACACATTTCGAGTAAAACGCATTTTAAATGTTTACATCTTATGCAAAGTAATGGCATCTGCTTTCACTAAAACACTTGCAGTTTTTGTTCCAATGAATGGAAAATAAAAACTTGGTATTTTTATATAAAAAGCTAATAAGATGGCCTATAAATTAAAATCATAAGCAAATGTCAATTTTTTTTAAAAAAAAATCATGATTTTAGGGTAGTCGGATACCTTAAATAGCTTCACATAGAAAAATGTTTTGTTAGAAACAGGATGTTGAAGACATTAAAGCGAGGCTTTTCAGAAAATGAAACAGCTCTAGTGAGTAGGCCTTATCTTAAACAAATAGATTTATGAACGTCTTAAATAAGAATGCCTTATATATGAACAGCTGCATAGAATGTAAACGTTTCACATGACATTCAGCTTTATTATAAGGCGTCGATTCAATTAATTATTCGATAAAGTACTGATAGATTACTCACCAATACTAAAAGCAAATATCCAGAAACTGAGAGAAACGGGATGATTAACTGATTGGATTCTAGAAGTAGTATATTATAGTCTCTTAACAAAAATATATATGTTTAAAAAAAAGAATAATACAATAGCATGCATCGAATCGTGCCTTAACTGTAAACATGATAAAAATAAAAAAAAGAACAGTAAGCCTCGTGTAAATTTTTCTGTCATCTTTAACATGCCCTCAAAAAACCTCAGTATTGTTACGAGGTTTGCTATGGATATAAAACCCCGAAGAAGATCATAGATTATTACGAAAGTTTTAATAAAGATGTAAATTTGATTATCGGGAAATTACCATTACATAATGAATCTGGGATGCTATTTATATATACTCCTTACTTAGAAAATGAAGAATCCTATCTAGCTTATCAAGAGCGTGGCAGTGTACAAAGAGAATATCGTAATGTTCCATCATTAGGTCTTCATGATGTATATTAAAAGTTAAACAAAATTAGAAACTCCATGAGCTATTGTAAGCACTCATATGCGCATTGCTATTTGAAACTCTAGTCATCAATCTTTTGCGGCTCTTTAAGAAACTAAAAACGGAAAGAAATGGAATTAAATTGTCGAAGACTGCTCAATGAAAGATTGCATACTTTCTGTTTCAACTAATACAACAATGGTGAAGAGTGATGTGACTTTAAGTGAAAAATGGTTTGCAACTTATACTAGAGAATTTAAGGAATTGGTTGAGAAGCAAGATAAATGTAAAAAAATATGGCAGTAGAGAAAATAACAATATCATCTAAATTTAAACCTAGTAATTATGTTTAGGTAATATTGCTTTCGGTTAACAAAGCTGCAAGCTCTCAATTGTTGCAGAAAGCAAAATTTATATCAAGTCGGGATGGACAAAATCAAAACTATTTCCAAATTCTTATATTATAGCCTGCATGAATAGCTTCTCTAGGTTCTTCTCTTCTTCTTTAGGTTATATTTCTACATTCTAACAGTATTTCCTCGAAATTGTTGTGTCTTCGAGACTTGTTGCTCCTGCTTAGAAATGGACAAACAATGAAAGATGGAGGTATTAATTCATACCTCAATCATGCTACAGACCATGAAAAATAGTTTTCTATTGCAAGGAAGAGACAACCAATCCACAAATACATCCTGTTCTCCGAGAACTTACAGAACAAGCAACAAGTGATGCCAATACGTAGTTAAAGGTGACACTGAGCACTAAAAGGGATTTTTCATTCTGGTTGATAGAATAGAATGGCATGGCAGAATAAGCGAAAAAAGTGTACCCAAGCGGTACATTCTTCAATTCGAATATATATACATATATTGGTACGAATATTGGGTAGTTAGTTCTTACTTTTATCTTAAAAAGTTTGAATAATTTAAGCCTACGTTCTTAATATGTTAATATCATTTTTGTTGCATTTATTTAATAATAATATATTCGCAAGCAACATCATCCCTTACTATATAATGGAGATTCAAAGGGAACTTGGGGTTACAAACAAGTGGGTATCATTTTTACTGTCCAAATTTGGCGAATTGGTGACAATATGGATAGTTATGGAAATTATTGGAGAAATCTACGATGTTATGATTTATGACATTCGCAAATTTTTCAAGAAAATTGATGGAAGGTAGCCGTGAAGAATGTACATAGCGCTCGCTTGCTGAAAAGGAGTTACAAGTACTTTAGCTGTTGAAGTTTTCACTTACTTACTACCGAGACGTTATTTGTGGATAGTCTTTAATGTTAAGTACCTGTATTTTTAGATATTGTTTAAAAAGCGTTGTAGAAGATATGGAAGCCTTCTGGAAATTATTGTGCAAATTGTACTGTTGTATTCTGTATTTTAAGGATTGTTTTCGGCAATAAATTGCATCGCTGTTGAAGAACTGTATTGTTCATTAGCATTAAGTCCACGAACGCCGATATGCTCAACAATATTAGGTTGGTGAAAAAGAAATCCATTATTTTTTCGGTAGATGGCTATAGTGTTGATATCTTGTGAAGTATTGATCAAACAATTTCAAATTTATGCTCGTTGTCATGGTTACAGTTTAAACTAAAAGCATTTTTTTTTGTATGGTCCATTCAAATGTGAGTTACAGTGTGTTAAAAATGGAAGTCAACAAAGAAAAAATCCGGTACATTTTTCTTTGATAAAGGCAAAAATGCGAGCCAGGTGGCTGAAATTGTGAATGGTGTTTATGGTGCCGATACTGTTACAGCTAGCTACATGCAATTTTGGTTTCCTCGATTCCGTTCCGGCATTTTTGATGTTAAAGTTGCACCTTGCACAGTCAGGCCCGTCGCCGAAAAAGTCGATAAAATCAACGAAAAATTGAAGTTGACCGACATGTTATTAGTCGCAGCATCTCCCAAGAGCTAAAGATCGACCATAAAACATTTTTAAACCATTTACGCAAAGTTGGATTCAAAAAGAAGTTCGACATTTGTGTGCCACACCAATTAACATAAAAAAACATGATTGATCGAATTTCCATCTATGAAGCCTTGGCCAAACTGAATGAAATCGACCCATTTCATAAACGGAGGGTGACTAGGGATAAGAAATGGGTCCCATACAATAATATTGTGCGAAAACGATCGTGGTCAAAGAACGATGAAGCAGCTCAAACGATGGCCAAACTAGGACTAACGGCCAGGAAGGTTCTAATGTGCATTTGGTGGGACTGGAAAGGAATAATTTATTATGAGTTGCTTCCGTATGACCAAACACTAAATTCATATATCTACTGTCAACAACTGGACCGTTTGAAGCTAGCGATTGACCAGAAACGGCCAGAATTGGCCAACAGAAGAGGTGCTGTGTTTCATCAGGACAACGCTAGGTCACATCCGTCTGCATTGACTCACCAGAAACTCTGGGAGCTTGATTGGGAAGTTTTAATGCATCCGCCATATAGTTCGGATCTAACACCAAGTGATTACCACATATTTCTGGTATTGCAAAACTTCCTGAGTGGTAAGAAACTGAGATCAAGAGAAGATTGTGAAAATCTATTACTATAGTCTTTCGCCAATAAGAACCAGGACTTCTATTAGAGAGGCATTATGAAGCTACCTTTGAAATGACAACACATTATACAACAAAATGGTGCATATTTGTCCCAAATCAGACAGTCCGAGCATGTTAAAATAAGTCTAGAATTTCATACAAGAATAACGGATTTCTTTTCACCAACCTAATACTTATCATTGATACATTTTCAAAAAACCAAATATAAAATTAGATCAGTAATTGCTCAAGCAAATCAAGTTGAAAATGCAATTTATATTCAGAACCCATTGAAGTAAAAGCGAAAATTTATCAAGAAATTTATATTTCTAATTTTTTAATGTGTAATTTTTATTTTTCATAAAAACACTTAAAAATAAATAATGTTATTTTATTATGTTATTATGTGATTTTTGTTATAATTGATATTTTATTTAAAAGTGGACAGTATATATTTATGTCATTAAAATAATTCTTGCTTTTTTCCATGTTACTTAAGTAACAAAGAAAATTTTACTTAAGGAAGGAATTTTTTCTCTGATTTTTTAAGTATTCACACACTCATTACACTGATTTTAACTTAATAAAAAATGCTCATATATTTTTTTCCTTACCGAACCCACCAATATCGAAGCAATGAAGTCAAGTCACGTTTTTCTCGCTTTTCTTTCAATTTCTTTTGTTTTACCTTCTAAAATGTTCTGAGAGTTAAGCTAAAAAATTTATCTTTCACAGGCACAA